TGGCTGCAGGGCCAAGCATGCTGCTATAAAGTTTGGAGAGAGGGTGCTGTACTTGAGCATCTGGAAGGTACGTATCTAAAATAATAATTGGATATTTTATTAGTGCATTGATAAGATGCTGGAAGAGTGGGAACCCTTTTTTTTTATTGTTTTGTTAAAACGAAAGCAGTAAGAGATCCTAGAGAAAAGCAGCTGCAGCTGCATTATTGTTTATTGCTTTGAAAGCAAATGACCATAAATAAATGCACCAGTAAACAGTACAGACATTTTGAACTACATCTTTTTTATTGCAAAACAATTGTTACAGAAATTTCAGAAAGTTCTACGGTAGCAATTGCCAACTTCTACTTTTTATTACATATCTAAACACAATCTAAAAGTGCATTGTGAATCCAGTAGACCTTTGGAAAGGACCATTTTCCCTAGTAATATACATTTAGACAAATTAAACTTGAAAACCTTCATAGTTGTAGGAATTTGTTTAAAATGTCATTTTAATCGTTTTTCTCCCTTTATAAATGATTGTTGTACACTTACAAATGATAACCCAAATAATAAACCATTAAATAGCTATTAGTACACTATATTGCAGACACTGTTCCAGACAGCAGTAGCAGCATATAGACTCTCCTCATGTACGACAACTTCAGTGGTGGAAGAAGGATATAACTTTAGTACAATTTACTCTTGTGCAGGCATAACACTGTATTTCACAGCCAATTCCCACTTCTGTCCCCTCCCCTTCCCCCCCCCCATCCAATACTAAAATAAACAAGAGTTATCACTTCCCTGCAGCAGAAACAGCAGCACTTTCATAATCAAACCTTTTTTCCTAATAGCTTTTTGAAATAAGTACTCTGTGGCTCTATGATGGAGCTGAAAAAGGAATCACATAAGGCAAAAATTAAAAGGTCAGAGATTGGTTCACAACCAGTCTGGTTCAATGGCTTGGTCATTAGACTGCCCACTTGATGATTTAGGATAATCTGTGTCATGACTCAAAGTAATATAGCGCTAGAAATGCAGACTAAATCCATCCTCTGATAAAAATTGGAGTAACTATTGAAATCAGGGGGTTTTCTGCAGATTTGCACCAGCATCAATGAGACCCTAGTCATGGTCAGCCTGGGCGAGGTGAAGTGGATGTGACCTTTTGCATTCTCCAGTGACCAGCTGTAAAGCAGCATAACTTTCACAGGTGTGCAGAAACTCAGTCTCTTTACATTCAACACTGGTGCTTCTATGTGCAAGTGTGGCAAGGCCAGTGGATCTGATTTAGAGGGCTGAAGGGTTTCCTTAGGTAAGCAGATACCCCAACACAGACCTTTTGCTTTTGCCTGATTTGGACTCTCCTCTTACGTGAGGTGGATGAAGGAAAATTCATGCTAGGAAGTGTTCCCATTTCTTTTGGAAAAGATCTGTACTTGATATTTTTTTAACAAAACTGAGAATGTGGCCTTTGTTGAGACTGATATGCTGGTTTGTGCAAAAATGCAAATGTATTATTATATTTAAGCAGGGCAGAGACATCACAACTACTTAAGTACTCCTAGGGAAATCCAGGAATGA